GTTGGTCCCATCAGGTTGGGCTGCCACCTATTTGCTGCCTACTACAAGAAGCCTCAGTTCCTCATGCACCAGGGTAGGCAAATATATGAATTGTCCAGCCCAGAATCATCTTCCAGGTGGAAATGAGCCAGAAAGGCCAGGCTGGATGTGGCTCTGGGCAGCCTGGGCTGCTGGTTGGCGACCCTGCACACAACAGGGGGCTGGAACTGGATGAGCACTGTGCTCCTTTGCAACCCAGGCCATTCTATGATGCTATGATCTTGCAGATGAGATTAGAGGTCTTTTCCAACCTTAATGGTTCCATGATTCTACTTTGGTTTCTGCTGGTTTCACTACTCAGAGCACTCCAGGTCTGTAGTCTCATTAGTCTTAACACTGCTCTGCCTCCTGAAGTGTCTTGAAATCAGCCCCTATAATCCACCACAGAGCAAGCAGCTTACCTGCTATTTGCTACTGCCCCTTGGCCTTAATATATAGCTGATAACAGGTTTAGAGGTAGCCAACTGCTTGAGAACGCTCTTTCTCCATCCTATTTTACTGCGCTGCTTACAAATGCTCATCTCCTGTGCAGCAGGCAGGTCAGACTCTGGGTACTGCACTTCTTTCCCCACCATCTGCAAGCCATAATTTCACTTTCCATTGCAGTTAGAGCTTCCTCAGTGTCTTGGTATTTCAGCACCTACAAAGGGATGTGCTCCTGCAAGAGCTGCAGCCTGTTGGCCCCATGGCTCCATTTGTCTGACATTCCTTCCTGCTCTGCCCCTGCTGAGGATCTCATCTCAGAGCTCACTCCAATTTAGAAGTCACACCTACCAGGCTTTCTGCCAGCACCAATAAGCCACCAGCCCAAATTCTTCCCTTGTATGGATTATTTGTTGCATCTGAGCTTTGAGCTCCAGAGCTGTGCTAAATATCCTCCTCCTTTAATTTCTTGGCCTTTCTGTGCTAAAGAGAAAGGTGCTACTAGTATATCGTGCTTTCACTCCCAAGGCATTTGCACAGATTGTTTTATTGCAGCCCTGTCCTTCAGCTCATCACAAGCACCAAGGTTCAATCTGATATCCTCCTTCCTAACTTTCTGCAAGAACGGTTGATTAAAAACCAAATTAAGTTTCTCCATAGGGTTAAAAGCTGGCATATTGCCTACATTCAGTAATGCTTTCTTTCCTATAGGCTTTTTTTCATTCCTGACACTTGGTATCAGTAGCAGAGACTTCTCCTGGCTTGTTATTTCAGATGGGCTGGGACTGGAACATCTATCCTGCCAAGTGCCCTTGAGTACTCAATAAATTAAGTAGCAGATACACCTTCACACAGACTGAACATGAGGGAACCACACTCATATTTTTTCTTAAAGTATTGTCTTCCTGCACTCGTAGAAATGACACTGCAGCATCAAATGACTACATTAGAAGTGCTGTGATTACTTCACTGGGAGAAACTGCAGAGCCAGCCTCAAATAAAGACATGTCATTTTGACACACTTAGATTATCAATCTAAGAGCACCAACTGTTAGTGTGGGTACCACATCCCTGCAGCACTATGCCTTAACCATGCTGCTAAGTGCTCGATGACCAAGGGTGGGCAAATGAAGAGCTTCGACTGTTTCCCTCCTCTCTGGCTGCAATTTAAATACAACTTGGAATTCAAACCCTTGTGCAGACCCCATCCCCACCCTTACATCCTCACCAATTGCTTTGCTCTCCCTTGATGGTGAAGTGGCCAATGTCACAGCAGAAGAGCATATCAAAATGAAGCCAATATTCACTACATTAGTAAGCATATTAGTAAGAAGAGTGTTTTAGAGCTGCTTTATGTTTTCCTCTCACAGACTTTCTAAAAACATGAACTGACCAAGTGATGCTGATACAGCACCAGCCCCTCGTGGGTCACTGTTCTTGGTCTATCACAGGTGGAATGACACAGTCCATTCATAAGAGAGAAGCAGCAACATACTTATTGATATAATACAGTAATTTAAAAAAGCTTTACCATAAAAAGCCAGCAACTTAACAAGCTTTGAAATGGCCAAGTATGCTTGAATATTTACTGCATAAAGGGGAAGAGTTAAATACGTTCATCCAGGAGATCCTCCTGTTACATCATGAGGTTGAGTGGACCCCTTGCTTCCAAAACTCCTTGAACTGTGGAGAGAAGAAGCCTACATGAGGCTGAATCCATTCCCAGTCCCAAACCTGGTCAGTGGTTTCCATCCTAAAGGATCAGATGTACAACCAACGATTGCATCTTAGCAAGTCTCACAAAGTTATCAGACTATTAGACACTTACCAAAGATCTGCATTAGCAAGGAATCTCTCAGTAAAGTTTAAGGGATCTCTGCACAGGTGTAACCTCAAGAGGTGTCCCTACTCAAGGGCAGATCTTGATCATGACAAAGGCTTAGAGCAAGATAAGATCCACGGGTAGTAAACCAAGCTGTTAGCATCATGTTTTACTCAATGCTAAGAAGTATAAGCAACCCATACTTGCTCCCAGTGAAACCTTCTTGATAGTTCGGTCACTTGGCAAAATTACAAGCCATCTACAAAACATTAGTTTTGCAAAACGCAAACATATGCATTTCTAACATACCTTGATACATCATTATAGTTCCAGAGGACTGGAAGAGTGCTCACATCACATCTACATGAAGCAGTATGAGAGACTAGCAAGTCACTGGCTAAAATGCTGCCAAAATCCAGTTCTGGGCTCTCTGGTACAACAGATACAGCCATACTGGAGAGAGCCAACAATATGAAGGTACTGGAGCAGCTCTCCTAAGAGTAATGGAGAAGAGAGTTGATAGCACTCAAGTCCAGAGAAGGCTCTGAAGGGACCTGATCAATATATACAAATACCCAAAAGGAAGGTGCAAAGAGGACAGAGACAGGCTCAGTTCAGTGCCTAGTGCCAGAACAAGAGACAACAGGCACAAATCCAGGCCATTCTATCATGATTCTATGAAACCCAAGCCCAGGAGCTTCCCTCTGAACATCAGGAATCACTCTTGTTCTGCACGAGTGACAGAACTCCAGTAAAAGGGACCAGAGGGTTTGTGGAGTCTCCTACTTGGAGATATTCAAACCCATCAGGACACCTGGGCACATTACTGAGCATCTCTACCGGGGCAGGAGAAGGAACAGATAGACCCAGAGGTCTCTGCCAGCCTCAGCCATTCTGTGATTGTGAACCCCTAAGAAAAATAACAGAAGTCATAACAAGAGCCAACAAATAAACTAGATTTCCATGAATACGTAAAGCAATGAAGCTAATTGAGTATGCATTTAGCCAGAGAGCACAGCAGGACTTTCAGCTTGCTCATGGCAGAGAGCAACACAAACTCTGGCTGTAGGATCTAGCAATACCAGGCTTGAACCTCTCCTTACCTAATTGCCTCACTGAGGTCTGCTCAGTGTTCTATCCCTCAGCAGGGAAATGCTTTCCATTAACATTTTTCCCCCTCCAAAAATGATCCATTCTCAACAAATCATCACTTCCTCACAAATCCATTTGATCAGGAAGTTTGACACAGCTGTTAAAATGAGCGAATATATTAACTGCTAAATCAATATGAAAAGCTTTAGGCTACTCAGTTAGTGCCAAACTGAGCACACCTTTCTTCAGACTTTCTTTTGAAAAGGCCATTCTTTTTATTTGCCCCCCCCCCCCAAAATTACAAAGCCTAGTTCTTTCAGAAGCAACGACAAGAGGCTGCATTGATAATTGCCTTTTGCAGAGAAGACGATATAACCTAACACGATGCAGCACAGATGTTACAGTCATAGCACTAAAAATAAAGGTTTATAATCCAGGACAATCTAATAACTGCTGTGTCTAAATCACTGAAGGCATCTGCCCTCTAAAGCAATCCCTAGTACTACATTAAGTGTTGTAAAGATGTACATCAAAGAGGACCATCTCTGCAACACCGTCCTTACCTGGACTTCTTGCAGCACCCTCATGGCACAAATAATGATGAGGGTTTTGGAGTTCTTTTATTTTAACATCTGTTGTTAAAGAAGCAGCTGGAATGTAGGGCCACTACAATGGGGTTTTAAAAGCATGGGACAAGGCTTTATAGAAATATAGAATCATAGAATCACTAAGGTTGGAAAAGACCTAAAAAGATCATCCAGTCCAACCATTCACCTATTCCCAATAGCTCCCACTAAACCATGTCCCTCAACACAACGTCCAGTCTATGTTGGATATATGGGGAGACCTACCATACCCCAAGCATTCAGGCGTAGCACCTGCAGACAAGGGGGTAGAATAGGAGCTTGGTGCTCATGCTGCCTTGGTTTGAATTTCACTCAAAAATGCACAGCAGGAAAGCAGGACACATCTCCACAAATTGACCGAAGCACTGGAGTAAAAAGTGAGATCAAGTCCATGTGGCACAGCTGTACTCTCAGTTACAGGCTTTTTAGTGACATCAACACAACCAAACTTGCCTTCACCCTCATCCTCAACCCCAGGCACATTGTGCAGCCCACAGCCATTTCAGGGAGAGTGCTACCACATCCCACAGCCTAAAGCAAGCCAACAAGCTGCATCTGCACAGTGCTAGGCACATTCTTTTGTGTTTTTACAGCATTCCAGGAGACCCTCAGCTGCATGCAAGGCCCCTACTAGGGTTCACAGTCCCTTAGCAAGGTACTGACAGTCAGATGTATGCAGCTTATTTTCCTTAGGTTTCAACACAAAGTTTTTCTTACTGATGTTAATAAGCCCCTTTAAGGAGAACACGTACAGTTCGCGTGTTCCTCCTTAAACAGTAAATTAATCTCACTGCTAAGACATTTTTGCCAACAATAGGAATGCAAAAGAGGACATGCTCCACAAGAAGGTATTGCTAGGATAAAGTACATAGGCTCTAATTCCATTTTAATTACCTTAAAGATATCATTACTGAAGTCGAAGAATTCACGTCTGCAAAACCAACACAAGGTAGAAGGAAGTCTTCCACAGTGGAGGCAATACAGTGATGGTGATGATATAGCACTATTGTCAACAACACATTTTCCTTTGTTAACAGTATGAAATGTTTAATGATTAAAAGGCTGCATTTTGCTGACAGTATTGAGAGAAGACTTATTTTCAGTGAGCAGCTGCTGCTTTTTTCACAAAGCAACTCTCCATTAGAAGTAATACAACAGACTGGTATGGCCAGGAACAGCCTAATGTCTGAAGTTTGTGGACTGGCAAGCACAGTCCTATGCTGCTAGTATTTGAATCACCAATAAACCAAATGGTCCATCTCCAGTTTTATGAGAACTGCGAGTTAAGCCAGGTTGGAAAAGAGCTAGGAGAAAAAGAAAAAAAAAATGGGTTGCACAGATTGTTTCATTTCAGTGAAATCTGCAAATGTCATTTTCCCCCTCGTCTGTCACAAATTTCTTCACCCCAAATCTTCTCATGCTCAGCTTTAACGTATTTGTCTCCATGGTGTCATTCCCCAAAAGCAATGTATGCCACTCAAAAATAAACACAAAGATCATCATGTAACAGTGCCTATGCTAAGCAGAGGCCATAGTTAACAGCACATATCTTCATCTGGCATAATCTAGCATTTTAACGCCTTCTGTTGGAGTGAGCTGCTCTCCATGGAGCTGCCCTCCCAAAGGCACTTGAATTTCTACATTAGTTTCCATCTGACTAACTACGTGCCATGGAGATGCTCATTGTTGGTGAGCAGGTTAATGGAGCAGCTCAAGGGACACAAGCTCCAGATCCTTTACGTAACTGTTTGCTTGCACCTGATAAACACACAGACAACCTCCTTTGTATTTTATAGCAGTGCAAAACAAAGTGTGATACAGGCAAAACAGCTGGCATCTAGACTTCAGTTAAAAAGACACAAAAGCACTGAAACAGCACACCAGGACTTGAGAGAAAATAATATGAATAAAGGGAACAAAGTAGGGGTCTGGGGATAATATTCCTCACTGCATCAAACATCCAAGATTTCCTTCCTAAAATGGCAGGGTAATGAGCCTCCAAGTATTACTTACCCCCCAGCAGCCCAGGCTCTAACCTCAAACCCTAGAATTACATTACTCCTACAGTCATATTGATACACATTTTTTTCCACAAAGCTCTGCAAATTTCTTTGCTACAGGTGGAGAGCAGTGTCCACCCATGCATCCTCAAAGGGTAGGAAGACAATTAAGATCCGTTCCTAAGTGCTCCAGAGGGACTTTTGCTGGACACAGACCTCGATGATGCAGAAGCTCTCTGGACAGGCTTTATGTTGGCTCTCAGAAGGTCTCAAAGCAATGAGAAACGTGGCACAGCCAGCAGGCAGCTGACACAGAGTTGATGCTCAGAAGCAACAGCAAGAATTCCATGGGGACCTTGAGGAGTTTGCCACATGCCCAGCTGGCTTGTGAAAATTTGGAAGATTTGCAAAGAGAAGCCAACAGTTCATTAACAAGAGCAAGCTTAATGATGTGAGCTGTGCTCAGGATAGGATTGGTTTTGTTGCAGTTGATACAGAGAAGTCATTAAACTTGTCGCCTACAGAATTCAGACTATTAGACCCTAATCTGTATTTTAAGAACCCAGAGTGAATATAATGAGAGATAATCGTAAGAATTACTTTCTTTTTCACTGCAACTCCATTGCTGTCAATGGTTCTGTCAGTGGCAAAGCAAGCATGTTCCCACTGGCTGGGCATCATCCCTAGCTTCACCTCACACCACAGGAGAGTGTTCTTCACCCAGCTGGAGTTGGAAACATTCTCAAAAAGCTTTGATTCTGGGAAAACAACATTTTCCAGGAAAACGATCATAAGAAAGAACACAGGTTCTTAATAAAATCTCATCAAGTTTTTTGCTGTGTGCTGGGAATGCATTCAACGAAATACAAAAGTGCACAGGCAGTCAGTCAGTCCCTTTATATGGCCTGAAAGCTACAAGACAAAAAGCTGCAACATGCTCGTAAAAAGCAAAACACTCATATGCATTATGTCTTTGTCTCCTAGAAAGGAAGTTCAACAGAATTGCAAGCCTTCATTGAAAGCAGGTCTTTTTTTCCCCAAGACCACAGCAGAGAAAGGGAGAACTTACCAGATACTGTATTTCAACACTGTGGACCAAAACTGTTTCCAGAATCTCACCCAGTAGATAAAACTACAGCTGGAATTCCTACTTCTGCCACCCAGCACTGCTGCAATAGGCCCATTCAGATTCACCCTTCAGCACCCTGGTACAAATCTATTTCCCTGTTTCTGCTGTCTTCTGTGCATCTCTCAGCTTGTCCAATGGAAAGCAATTTAGATCTTAGGTCTAACCCAGGGCAATTCCTTTCACACAGAGAATACTTTTTCTATCACATCACTGAGTCCTCTGAAAGCTCCTGTCTTTTATCCAGCTACTATTATTTAATAGATTATATATGCCTGAAGAATAGCTAGGTTTTGGATCAAGTATACTTCAGAGATGCTTTCACTAGCACTAGAAACACACCAGTAAAAGCTATCACTCACAACACGGATTAAGCACAACCATATATTAAAAAACCCCAGCAAATTAGTTCTTGAATTTTTATTGTTTCAATTCAGTAATTGATTCTCTCCCTACCTTTATACTTTATTAAGACACCTTCAGGAGCCAACAGATCCTTACCTTGAAGTCACTCACACAGATCAAGTCACGTTAACCCCATTTTTTGATTGACCACATGGATTACGATTGTAGATAAGGTTACAGCCAGTATTTTGTTAGGATTTATTTTCATATCCAAGGATCATTCTGTTAATAGTGATAACACATGCTTTTCTTCTGGGCCTAATCCTGCCAGGACAACATTTAAGACAGGACAACGTCTTTTTAAAATCATCTGAAAACCTGATATCATGATATATATTCATCAAGTCTGCTTGTAACCAAGGCTTTGCCACTCTTCCTTCTACAGTGCTGAAGAGAGGGTAAGTATGCAGTTTGGAAGGATTAAAGGGGGGGAAAATAAGAGGTTAGTCCTAGAATAGCTTTATCACAGAATCATACAATCCTTAGAGCCGGAGGGGACCTCTGAATGCCATCTAGTCCAGCTGCCTACAACAAGCAGGGACTCCACTGCTCCATCAAGTTGCCCAGGACCTGATCCAGCCTCACCTTGAAGGCTGCAAAAAACCACTGAAAATAAAAACAAGTGGTTCCTACCCAAGTTAAATGTTCAGACTCCCTTTACGTTAAACTGGGGAGGGCTGGGTGCCCAACCACAAGGCTCTCAAACACATCTTCAGCAAGGAGGAGCTGCTGTAAACCAAGAAAGAGAAAAGAATGGAAGAAACTGTTTCTCACTTGGTCTGAGATGACTAATGCTGGACTACGTTTAGACATCTCTACCAAATAAAGATTCAGAGCAGAAATTCCCTGAATTCAGGCATATAAATAATCAAAATTAGGTACAGGCAGCTTGGTTTTCTTTTCAGAGACAGAAGACTGCAGTAAAAGCAGATTAGAGAAAAAGAGAGAAACTTTCCTCAGTCAATCAAATAACAAGTCTTCCTGGCTTGAACGTATGAGCCTCAGACTACGTTCATCAAAGGCTTCTGAGTTTCTTCAAATTCAGACTGCATGCAGTTGGCCTCAGCAGACTTTCTCAGGTTTTTGTCCTACTGAGAAAACCTGGTTTGCACGTTGTCCTTATCTAGCAAAGCATCCAGTCTTGGAAGACTGCATGAAGATCCATTTGGACAGAGGCCAAACTGCTGTAATGGGAGCCTGATGCATCCAAAGCCCTCTGTAAACCCGAGTGCCAGGTCTTGAGGCTGGCGACCAGCACAGACATATCATACTTAGCTCTCCAAAATATATGCTCAAAACAGATATGTGTCGATATCCACATATGCCAGACTGCAACGTGAAAGTTAAAACTGCAAAACAAACATTAAAAAAAAAAAACACCAAAAACAAGAAAACAAAAATACATCTTTGAAATGGACACGTTTCAGAGTTTCAGCACCACATGTAACATAAGACTTCCCAAAAATGTCTCGATTATTTCTTTAAATATATCCATGCAGCAGATTTGTTTACACTCATTGAGATAGACTGCTTCTTTTTTAAGAAGTGGAAACAAATATATCTGTTGAATGCAAATACAAAACATTTGCAGCTTTCCTGAGCAGTAACACTTCCATTTAGCTATGGGAACAGGCATTTGAGCACACGAGTCCTGCACGTGGAGGGTGTTTACATGTGTACTAGCTGCATATAAAAATCTCAGTGCACAAATTTATTTCCTCTGTGTGCAAGAAGTACTCATTTGAGATCAGTCTTGCATGAGAAAAGAGTGTACTTTAAAAAAAAAAAGTGATAGCTTGTTGCAGACATAGGATAATAATGGATAATAGGTGTTTTATTTAACATCCAGACTCTAGATATGGTTAAATCCATCTCTGAACAAAATCTGAGCACCCCACACTTAGCTGGAGCTCCCACTGGCAGGCACCTGCTAGGAATTGCTGTAAAATTAATAAAAACAAGATTTATACAAAAAGCCCAGTATTAATTGAAGCACTCTGCATCTTGTTACTTCTGAGAGCATAATGGACTTGTGATTAGGCAGTTTGTTAAGCATCCATTCCCTGGTGTTCTCACCTGATTGCAGTTAGCACCTCATCATGTGTTGCAGAGAACGAACAGTTGGTGCATCTTCACTGCAGGTAAAACACGTTCAGTAATTCTGGAACACCATGCTGTCATCCACATTTCCTATGAATGATAAACTATTTCGTTCCTACAATGAAACTAAGTTCAAAAGAAATTAATCTCAATTTAGGGACTGACTCCCTTCTGGCAGGGAATGCTTGGATTGCCTTTAATCAAGTTGAATCAAAGCTGAGCAAGTATTATTCCTCTTGTATCACACTTATCAATACTGTTCTACTTTCACCTGGTTTATTAGTCATGGAATTGAAATTCAGTGGTCTGCAAAGTCCTCCAGGCCTTTTTACGTTCATCCCCCTAAAGCAAGCTTAAATGAACAATTATCTACTACTTAAATGGCCAGGTCATTTAAATCTTATTTCAGTTTTTCTTTGTGTGGAGGAGATTACAGCAACCTGGACCTAACAGTTCAGTTTATCAGTTTTAGTAACGCCCCTCTAACTTGTTTTATTGACACCTGACTTTGAAACTGTGTTCTCTCAAAGAAAAAAGGCTCCAATGAAGAAATTCTCAAAGATCCCTCACATGAAAGCAATACAGAAAAATCACAGAAACATTAAGGTTGGAAAAGACCACTAAGTCAACAGCTGGAGCTGATGCTCACGTCACCACCATGCCCACTAAATCAGGCTGCATTTCCTGATCTATCATTACTCATCCCCACAAATTCACCTTGCATCACAAGCTTGGACTCAACTTGAGGCATGTTTTCAGTTTCTGAATATACTCTGTGGTTTCTGAGAAGTGCAAATGCATGTGTTTCTTGCAGTGGACAATTTCTTCTAGAAGCAGAAGTTTCTCCCTTTGCATCTCTCTCTTACTGACTGTAAAGAAAGCCTACGAAGTTGACAGACTCCCAAGGATTATTATTTTTTTAAGTACATGATATGCATTTGCTGTAGATGTCTTAACATGGCATCTTTAAAAATTATCCATTCTACCTGCCAACCTTTTGCCCTTTTAGCTATTTCTTTTTTTCAAGAGCCCTGTTTGTACATGTAATAACTACAAGACATTAAATTGGAAAGTATTATGGTCATTACAACAGAAGCATTCCAGGGACACTTGAACTGGCTCCACTGCAGTCCTGGATGCAGTGAGAACATTTCTGAAGTTATTACAATTGCAATCTGTATCTCCAGAATCCAGAACAGCAGTTTATGTTTTGCCTCCAGCTTCTAACCCACTTGAATCACAAACTTTTACTCTAAAGAGAAAGACCCTCAGTTTAGGTCTTTAGCTGGAAGGCCACTAGTTTCATGAATCCAGTTGTTACTCAGGGTTTGATAATACTATCATCTAGCATCGTGTTCCTGCCTCATATGAGCATGGGATCCCTGAGCCAGAGACCTCTGTGCCAAGAAAGACCATTCATTATGGCCGTTGTCTAAATATTATTTCTCCTATCCAGCAGCCAAGAGATGGTTAGCCTGGAGGTAGACATTTTCACCAAGTTTCAACATACTTAAACTCTAGCACTTGAGATAGCACAGACCTAAGGCAGTATTTTGGCTCAGTGCAGGCTGTGCCCTTGCTAAGACTCAGTTCCCCAAGCTCAAGGTAACGTGCTTTTACCTAGGGCTCAATCTGTCACCTAATCTCCCAGCAGTACCCCTAGTTTGCAAACACTTCTCAAAGCCAAAACATCCAGCAGTTGTACGTTGACAATGCCTAAGAAACAACCACACAATGATTATCTTTTCCAAGGTTGCCAATACTGCCTAGACATTTGAATTTCCTCTTCCTAGGCTGCAAGAGCAGAGCGCTTTGTTTTGGAGTGCTCTGTCATCAGAAGTAGTCTTAGAATCCCTTAGAAAGTAACCAACCATATAATGATAATACAGCTGTTAGACATAAGCAGTAATGCTTTTTGCCCAATATTCAATGGATTTGTCTACCACGCGCTGCATTTTAGCACAAACAACCCCATGCTATTCCACCACAGTTTAAACACTCCTACTGATTTTGGTTAGAGAGTGAAGCACATTGTGCTCAGCACTGCGAGAATAATTGATTTCCTTGGTTTGTTAGTCAAACCAATGACACTCACCGAGGGGCAGAGAGAAACTTACTCCAGGTTAAATAAAACATTTTGTTTCGGTAGGCCGTAAAAGCAGAGAAAATTTAGCGAGTGTTGCTTGAGCTAATAGTGTCACCTCAGTTCAAAACCCTTTCCTAGTTGATCAGTTTAAGAGAATTTTACCCAAACTCTTCCCACTTTCTTCCACAGCTGTCCTCAAAAGCCATCCCTAGAAACATTCTGAATTGTTTCTACTATTCTACTATTTCTCCCCTCTGCTGATGACTTACTTAATACTGCCTGGAGTCATGACCTGCTTTGCTTCATGCTTGGTGATTGCTTTTAGCCCGTCTCAGAATTGCTCATCCTCCCTCCTTCAGAGCCTCAGTAAATGGCTGTTCTGCTTCACAAATAAGCCAAAAAACCAGCATTTCAACAGCTAACAGCTTACTCATGCAGAAAGGAAAAGAATGCAGTTCAAAAATATGAACCATGGATTTGAAACAGGACGTTGTGAAAGCTGTAAGGATACCCAGGCCACTGGAGGATAACAGGGAAACAAACCATAATCATTCATGTCTTGAGAGTCACAGATGCAATTCAGAAAGCCTGTATTTCTTATAGGTCTTCACATGTACCTGTCAACATGCTGGCTCTAGCTCACCTAGACAGAATACACTGGCCAGAAGGCTTAAAGAAGTTGAACTTGAATGAAGTCTACCCACAAATCTCACCTAACACTTGTGGGATGATTTTCCAGACAAAGCTTCAAGGTAGTGATGAAGAAGCAGCCAAGGGCCATGCCTGGAGCAACACAGGAAAGCACAACTCGTGTCAACACACATACACCTTCTTACGTCCAGTCCACTTGACTGCAGAGAATGACCCAAAGAAGTGCCTGGTCCTCCTCTGGTTGTTCATTCACAAAGCCATGGTGACTAAACCCAGAATCCAGATGAAAACCCAGAAGCAATTCAAAGCTGCTTCCAGATTCTTGGCCTCAATGACCAAGGGAGCCTTGGCATCGAGGCCCCAGGATGAGCCGCTCTTTATGAGGACACTGATGCCTCCTCCAATACCAGCAAGGCAGCAAATTTGCCTCTCTCCTTCACACGTGCCCTTTTAATGAAAATAAACCCGAAAGTAATTTATATTATCAAACACCACACAAAGCCACCACCCATGGCACTCCCTCAACTGCATCTGTAATAGCAAGGGATGCCCACTCAACACAACCAGGTGGAAATCATGTTCAAGTATGGTAGAGACCCTTGAAGTTTGCAGCTCCCATGCAAGCTAGCAGCTTAAACACTATTCTGAGGATGTCCAGCATAACACAGATATGCCAGGCAAGCATACATTCAATTGTACATCTGGGTCAGTAGGAGAAGCAGGAGCCATGGCACAAATTTGAGCAAAAAGCAGCTGGGCATGATGAAATCTTGTCAGCATAGAATAAACAATCAGGCTTCACTAACTTCAAGAAAAGGTAGGAGGAGTTAAAGAAACATCACACGTCAGAACACCATTCATCTTAACTTGTTAAATATAAAGTGTCAGCATCCTAGAGCCAGGAAGAAGTGCAACACATCTAAAGACAAGACTGAAAGTGACTGAGATTCAAGTACTCAACTGTTGAGCAAGTTCAACAATAACAGAGCCAAATTTAGACATAACAGATAATAACTCACGATGGAAGTGAAAAAAATACACGCCTTAATTCTTCATACGTGCATGGAATTACATTTGGATCTGAATAGTCGCACTGAGACAGAACAGGAGCAACTGAACATGCTGTTCCAGTTACTGTCATCCATCTCCACCACTCAGTAGTGTTTCTGGTCCTGCATTTTAGACCATGCTGAAGGAGGAAATAAATGCACCAAACTTCAAGCTTTGCTTTCTGAGGAAACAAAAAAGATTGTGCAAAATTCCATAGGGCTCTAAATACACCACTTACCTCATATTCATACAAAGACACCTCAGTCTGGCACATGAATAAAGATCATTGTTAAACCTGGATTAAAAAAAAACTGTTTACATACAGTTTAAATGTTGGGACTTCAAATTGAGGCTTAAGATGTTCAAGAGCTCATAGAGGTGGCACAGTTCACATTCTTGCCTGACACAAGCACTTGTGGTGCTCTAAGATCTCAGGCATTAGATGTGTTTTATTTGTAATTTAATTCATGAAAGCAACCTCTGGGGCTCTTGAGCGCACACACACAGTGCTCCAGTGCAAACACAGCTTTACCCAGCCAAGGGCTCCCTGTAGTTCAAGCAGGCAGGTCAAGGTACAGGTTAGTTTTGGATATTGCAGGATTATCATCCTTCTGCACAGAAGGATTTATAAATAGGATGCAGAGTATAAGCTTTAGGAGTATCAGGATGGATGTTTCATATCTTCTTCCCCTCTCTTTCACAGGTGCAGCAGTCAATATATATAAGAAGCTACCAGTTGCCATTGTAGGCCCTAAGTTAGGAAGCAAATTTTGTCTAATCTTCATCACACACAGCACAGCCAACATAAAACCAGTCAGAATTGGGCCATGCACGTTTCTGGAGACAAGAAAGCCTCCTGGTGTCTGAAAAATGATTGCTAGTGTTGGAAAAGCCTTCATATTGAATCATTTACTGGTATGAAGAAAAATGCAATGACTCTAGTTATTGAAAATGGTCCTGGATGGGTTTTAATTATGGGCAAGCTTTGTAAACTGGTCTCATCTTATATAGGTTGTCCTTGCCAATGCAATGAACACCTAGCTCCAGATTTGTAAGAACATGACCGGCAGAAGTGTGCCATTATATCATATGGAAAATAGCTGAGTGACTCTGGAAAGAGCCAGGCTATGTCACACAGCTGTCAAAGGGAAATAGACGCGTCTGAAAGACACAGATAAGAATTAACAGATATTGCAGAACAGAGTTTGCAAGCTGTACTTACAGAACCATCTTTTGCTCAGAACAACACAGAAGCCATTTACATCACAACCAGAGTACCAGTGAGCAGCACAAAAGCACCTGCTCAGCATACAAAAACATTCTTTGTTCCCAAGTGTAAGCAGCAATTACCTTTAAAGACAAATGCAAAAGTTCCAGGTTCCCGGCAGAAGTCACAATAACCTTTGCTGGGATCTCCCTGCAGCACTGCAGTGTGAGCTGAAATCCATGATAGAATAGCTTGGCACGAAGCTCCAACCCCCCTGTGCCATGCAGGGCCACCAACCTCCACATTTCACAGCAGCCCAGGCTGCCCAGGGCCCCATCCAACCTGGCCTTCAACACCTCCAGGGATGGACGGGGCATCACAGCCTCTCTGGGCAGCTGTTCCAGCACCTCACCACTCTCACAGCACACAACTTCCCCCTGACATCCAACCTCAGTCTGCTCTCCTTCAACTTCAAACCATTTCCCCTTGTCCTGCTGTTCTCTCCCCTTTTCAAGAGTTGACTCCCCTCCTGTTTGTAGGCTCCTTTTAGGTCCTGGAAGGCTGCAACGAGGTCACCCCTGCAACCACCCACACCCTTCTCCAGGCTGAACAACCCATTCAAACAACATGATTATTCAACCCCCTGATTAAGAAAGATTGGCAGGTCTGTAGCTGAATCTCTGGCTGCCAAACAGTGACTTGCAGCCCGCCTCCCAGTGGTGCCTCAGCCTCTGCTTGCAGTCAGGTGCTTTGCATATTGCATGATGCAATTACTTGAGATTCTTTGCTTTAGAAAAAGCTTCCAGAGTTGTTACCTCCACAAAAACCCCGATATCTCCCACAAGGCCAGCCAATTAACAACCTGTGTATCTGGCAACACACTTCTTTTCTGCACTGCTAATGCTTGCTTTCTTTGGGCAAGTCTGTCAGCAAAATTACTCAAAGGACTCTCATCCAGCAACAGGGGCCTCTCTAATGACAAAGCCCTGACACTTCAATGCATGCAAGTTCTTAACAGGCGCTGTAACCAACTGCCAACAGATATCCAAACATCTGGACTCAGCCAGTTGCTGCAAGAGAAGCACAGTCCCAGTGACATCCATGCAGTCAGGCACCTCCTACTGCCTATCGTGCTCTAAAAGCATCCTACTGTCCCCATGCTGAACACTGCATGCCTGTGCAGTAAGAAACAGCTAACAATCTCCTGCCATGCCCATCAAAGAGCCAAGCGATGTAACAAAACATGAAAGCTATGGTTATACTGAAATTGGTCTTCTCTCATACTAACTAGGCCAATTAGCCAGCAATAATTTCTCTATTAGCAATTGCATTCAGTTACGTAATAAACTAAATTAGAAGCCAAGTGCATTGTGTGGAGCAGCTCATTTCTTCAGAACTTCTAGATAATACCAAAGGAGGAGTGAAAAACAATGTTTATTCACTGTGCCAATGCCAAGCAAGAGCAAAGAATGATTAAAAAAAAAAAGCTATCAATCACCATATCTGAATCTGGGCTTAGACTTTATCAATACCATCAACTGACTTTGTCACTTGCTTTCCTTTCTGTATATATATTTAGGCTTTTATTGTTAGGTAATTTCCTGATTGAATTCAAAAACCTCATGGAACAGCATATTAGCATATTTTGAATATAAATGCAGACTCTGCTATGGGATTCAATTTCTCTCTGAATTTTAATTCCAAAGCTGTTCTTTTCCACATTGTTCACATGAGTAATGAGAATTTTAATCATTTTCACACACCTCAGAGATGGGACAGCAGAAAATACAGGCACAGAAGTGAGAGTTAAAGTTAAGTTCCAAGTTCCTCCCTAAGACCACGTTAGGATCACAAACAGCACATTGTATGCAGTATCATGCTGCCAACAGGGATATAACGACCACAAGCCCAGGCACTGCATAGCAAGCAAGTCCCATAAACACAGGCCAGCGTTTCAGCCCAGTTACAGATTCAGCATGCAGGGCAGGGAATTACATCCCAAAGTCATTTGCATGGGTAAAGAGCTAAAAAAAATAAAAAAAAATAAAAACAATAAAAGAAGAGGAGCAGAAAAGAAGGCTTGGGCAAAACTGAGTGTCTGGCACAGGGAGAATCATTCAGGTTCCAAAAGACCTCCCAGATCACCAAGCCCAACCCAGACCCATCCCCACCATACCCATTGACCACATTCCTCAGTGCCACATCTTCACGGCTTTAGGACTCCTCCTCCTTGGGCAGCCTGTGCCAGTAAAACAGAAATGAGGGCTGCCATGGGTTGCTGATGAAGGACACAGCACAGTCCCTGTAGCAACCTCTCCACTGCCTCCAGGCCCACACGATCAAGCAAGGGCTTTTCAGAGGAACTAGTCCTCTAAGTTCTGTTTTATCTCCAGTTCAAGTTATCTCCCTTGCACACTGAAAAAAATACTAAAAATAAAAATAGTTGAGAATTTGTCATTTCCAATCATCCATGAATGGATATCTATGCATGTCAACCTAGAAGAGAAGAAGAGGCTTCTGTCACTGCTGTTCATCTCTTCATGGATGCAAGCTGATCAATTACCAGCTGGTAAGCCCATTTTAACCAGAACTGACTCCTTTTATCTGATAAATCCAAACTAAATACAGATCAATTTCTTGAGCACAATGACAGCCTTTCATCACTCAACTTTCATCATCCAGCAGAAGCATTATAAAGAACATAGGAGGAAGCAATTCTGATTGTCTTTCCTTTTTGCTTTCCTTCAGGGTAAGAGAGTAGAGTGCTAAACACACGCATTACCTTTTCATTAACTCTGTGTCCAAAGGGTACAAATTTCCCTGGGAAACTACTTCTAAGAAGCAAGACTAGAAGATATGAGAGAAGCTCTTGTTTC